CAGTATAGATCGCACTACATTAGTTGCTTAAAAGTGACATTTTATAAGTCACTTCTGAGTCAATAACAGGAAGGGGAGATCAATCTCCCGTTTCTCTACTTGTCTACCCAGTAGGTTCCGCCATGTTGGTCCTGGGTGCGCAAATGGACACGCAGAGCCCAAAAAACATGGTGGGGGTGCCCATTACCGGGGCGCGCAGAAGAGATCCAGTAGCTGCAAAGTTGCTGGATCATTTCCATCTGACAGCTTACAATCAGGTCATCAGATTTGCTCACACTCCCGTTTTGTATGTACTGTAATAGCAATACAAACAACTGTCCATCAAATGACAACTAGAAAGAAGTTAGTCCTGGTATACAAGTGAGAGGGGGATTTAGCACTCATCTCCCCCACATATAGTAAAAATGACCCCTAAATTCCAAAGGTCCCATGTGCAGCTGAACAGTTTGTACCAGTGGTACATCCTCCCCCTCATATGACTGCTCTGTAGCAATCCTTAGTCTATGTGTAACTCCACAGTAATCTGCAACGCAGTGGTACAGAAATGTCTCCCCTTCCCATGCGCTGGAATAACTTTTTTCACTATCACTGGCTAACCTGAGCCAGTGGGTAAAAAAAATATTCCATCCATCCAGGAAAGGGGAGATGAGGTCATTATTTTCTGTACACAATAATTATAGATCTGACTTATGAAGTGAAAATCAATTTTTTACAGTTTCACAGCTGCTAAAAGTAAATGGGGAGCCCTGATACTATAAGCAATGAAAAGAATACATCCTCCTCTATGCACAGGTAATGCTAAATGGAATAGTAATTAGAAAGCCATTAGACACTTTAACTGGATACTGTTGCTGCTGCCCAGCATTAGTACCAGTCAAACAGGTGCATAGAGAATTCACTGCGTTGGTGAATGGGACCTGTAATGGAGTTCCCATTTATCCATTTTCCCTTGCGGCAGAAGCAGGGCCCTTTAATTCCATTAAACACAATCCAAATTTCTCCCATCATCCTTGTACTTCTGGATATGCGCAGGGGATATAATCTGCAACCCCATCCACCTTCCTGTGCTCAGACCGTGCCTGATTGAGTAGTCATGACAAGTCTAGCTAGATGCAACTAGATACAGCCCCCCATGTCTGAATCAGTGTGTGGGCCACCAAAGGGCATGCAAAACTAACCTATGTTCCAGCAACATTGGTGGCATAGCTCACAGTCACCTGGGTTGCTTTACCAGAGACTTCTGCTGCTGTACCATTGTGTCATCCACTATGAGATTCTTGCCCGCAGCTATCTGGGCTATCCTCTGCAAGTCCAATAACAAGTGGAAGATTGTATTCCTTTTTAGGGTATCCCAAGTATTTGCCTTAAAGTGGAACTTTGTTCTGGAAAAAATACTGTAGTTGCTGACTTTTAATAAACATACACCTACCAGTTCAGGGATCCAGCTCTGTCCTCACCCAAGCCAATTCTTCTCCGGGAGGTCAGCTGTGACTTTTTGGTGTTTTACAGCCAGCTCCTCTTTGCGCATGTATGGTACGCCCTGCACTGCCTTAATGGTCCTGCAGGCTCCTGGGATCTGTGATGTGTCCCAGGAGGTTGTAGGCAGGGAGAGGGGGGCAAACTCCGAAGAGCCGTAGTGGGAGCAGGTACCTCCTCCCAGAACAAAACAAAAGAACATCCAAAAGTGGGAGTGGAGGGGAAAAAGCTGAATTTTTTTCAGGTGAAGGTCCGCTTTAATTATCAATTAATGTTCCACATTGTATGCTGGAGACTCTTACCACTGTGCCATATCAGTAATTATATGGCACAGTGGGCAAATGTGACAATCATTGCTGGTTTTCCTGTTCTGTTTAGATACATTCTCCTTATAACCCTTGGTTTTATACCAGTTGTGCATCTTTGTACCTTTCTGCTCTGCATACAGTTGGTAAAGGTGAAGAAAACATCAGTGGTTGATACCATTGCACAGTCTTATGCAATGATTTTCTCAATGAAGAATGTTAGTAGTTCAGATTCAAGCAGAGGGATTGTCTCAGCATCTCTGCCTTCCTTTTCACTTTGCTCTTACAAGGTCAATGTCAATGCCTATGCTTGTAAACAGGGCACACCTGTCATGGGTTGTATGTGCCATAATCGCAGCGCCTTGTTCGATTCACACAGGTCATCTCTGTGCTTTCTGAATGATTGATTCACTTAGACAAACCTGGCCAATCTCAAAGGTCACTGCTCCCGAATTCTAGCGCCTTCGCTGAAATCTGTTTATATGGTCTAGTCATTTCTACAGGATATTAAGTATTACTGTGCCATGTCAGAGTGTCCTTAGAGCCAGACAAGTGACAAGAAATAGAATTATGTTATGTCTTTTGGATTCAAACTGCAGTGAAGTGAACTCTCGTGTTCTGGAGCTGATATGATTGAATACTGTCTGTTATACAGGAATACTGTAAATAGCATTTCTTAAAGACATTGAGATAAGCTTTCTGTGCTTAGTGGTTATGTTTTCATTTTACCTATTCAACACAAAGGAGTTGGTCTGTGTATCAGATTTTTAAAAAAAGAATATCTAGGAATGGCTGTGTATAATTCAGTTGTATTTAAAAATCAGCAATTGGAAGAATTAAAGCTAGCCAGTGATGGGAGTGATTTTCTTTCCTGGAACCATATAATTTCCCCATCAACATAGTCAGTTTTGATAGGGGAATCCCTTCCACGCAGCCATTGTGTTCTCCCAGTGTTGGGGATAGGGAAGCCATCCCCACCAGAACACAGTGATTACTGCTAACAGCTATAATAGCTACTAGCAATAATCACATGTAAAATCTGACAGGTTGGTTGTACACAAGTTGATTGATCGATCAACTTGGGTACATTCAGCCTGTCCATACATGGCCGGCATAACAGAGAAAATGGTGGATAAACTTCCACGGTGGCTGGACAGGGTTGTACACATGCTGCTGCAAAAATTATACCCCATGTTATATTCAGCGGGCAGTATGGCTGCCAAATGTGACCCATTCAAGTGAATAGGGCCACGATTGCAAGTCAAACGTTTTGCAGTGTGGTACTCCCATTCAAAATCCCCATTTGATTGCCAAAAAGTTAAAACAAGAACAGGCATTCAGAAGGCAGCAGTATCACTTTCTTAATGCCTGATAGCTGCTTTTATACTGCTCCCTGAAAAGCGATCCACTGCTGTATGAATGAACCCTAGTATTTGTGGTTGGAATGCCAAGTCACTACTACTTGTTCTGAGTCAGTGAAAGTGATGAAGCAAATGGATCAGCATGATGGCTAGGCAGGTAATGTTTTCCGAAATAGAGATCAGAAATTGCAGCCTTTTGTATTCCTATTACAGTGCAGTTTTTTGTAAAGCAAACCTAAAGTGACTAATACATACAGTGGGGCAAAAAAGTATTTAGTCAGCCACCAATTGTGCAAGTTCTCCCACTTAAAAAGATGAGAGAGGCCTGTAATTGGCATCATAGGTAGACCTCAACTATGAGAGACAAAATGAGAAAAATAATCCAATCACATTGGCTGATTTGGAAAGAATTTCTTTGCAAATTGTGGTGGAAAATAAGTATTTGGTCACCTACAAACAAGCAAGATTTCTGGCTCTCACAGACCTGTACCTTCTTCTTTAAGAGGCTCCTCTGTCCTGCACTCATTACCTGTATCAATGGCACCTGTTTGAACTTGTTATCAGTATAAAAGACACCTGTCCACAACCTCAAACAGTCACACTCCAAACTCCACTATGGTGAAGACCAAAGAGCTGTCGAAGGACACCAGAAACAAAATTGTAGACCTGCACCAGGCTGGGAAGACTGAATCTGCAATAGGCAAGCAGCTTGGTGTGAACAAATCAACTGTGGCAGCAATAATAAGAAAATGGAAGACATACAAGACCACTGATAATCTCCCTCAATCTGGGGCTCCACGCAAGATCTCACCCCGTGGGGTCAAACTGATCACAAGAACGGTGAGCAAAAATCCCAGGACCACACCTAGTGAATGACCTGCAGAGAGCTGGGACCAACGTAACAAAGGCTACCATCAGTAACACACTACGCCGCCAGGGACTCAGATCCTGCAGTGCCAGACGTGTCCCCCTGCTTAAGCCAGTACATGTCCGGGCCCATCTGAAGTTTGCTAGAGAGCATTTGGATGATCCAGAAGAGGATTAGGAGAATGTCATATGGTCAGATGAAACCAAAATAGAACTGTTTGGTAGAAACACAACTCGTGTTTGGAGGAGAGAGAATGCTGAGTTGCATCCAAAGAACACCATACCTACTGTGAAGCATGGGGGTGGCAACATCATGCTTTTGGGCTGTTTCTCCGCAAAGGGACCAGGGCGACTGATCCATGTACAGGACAGAATGAATGGGGCCATGTATCGTGAGATTTTGAGTGCAAACCTCCTTCCATCAGCAAGGGCATTGAAGATGAAACGTGGCTGGGTCTTCCAACATGACAATGATCCCAAACATACCGCCCGGGAAATGAAGGAGTGGCTTTGTAAGAAGCATTTCAAGGTCCTTGAGTGGCCTAGCCAGTCTCCAGATCTCAACCCCATAGAAAACCTTTGGAGGGAGTTGAAAGTCCGTGTTGCCCAGCGACAGCCCCAAAACATCACTGCTCTAGAGGAGATCTGCATGGAGGAATGGGCCAACATACCAGCAACAGTGTGTGCCAACCTTGTGAAGACTTACAGGAAACGTTTGACCTCTGTCATTGCCAACAAAGGATATATAACAAAGTATTGAGATGAACTTTTGACATTGACCAAATACTTATTTTCCACCATAATTTGCAAATAAATTCTTTCCAAATCAGCCAATGGGATTGTCTGGATTTTTTTTCTCATTTTGTCTCTCATAGTTGAGGTCTACCTATGATGCCAATTACAGGCCTCTCTCATCTTTTTAAGTGGGAGAACTTGCACAATTGGTGGCTGACTAAATACCGTATTTTTCGCTCCATAAGACGCACCTGACCATAAGACGCACCTAGGTTTAAGAGGCAGAAAACAGGAAAAAAAAAATTCTGAACTAATGGACTGCAGACATAGTACATGAGATGACCAGGGACTGCGGACATAGTACAGGGATGACCAGAGACTGCGGACACAGTACAGGGGATGACCAGAGACTGCGGACATAGTACAGGGGATGACCAGAGACTGCGGACACAGTACAGGAGATGACCAGAGACTGCGGACACAGTACAGGAGATGACCAGAGACTGCGGACACAGTACAGGAGATGACCAGAGACTGCGGACACAGTACAGGAGATGACCAGAGACTGCGGACACAGTACAGGAGATGACCAGAGACTGCGGACACAGTACAGGGGATGACCAGAGACTGCGGACACAGTACAGGGGATGACCAGAGACTGCGGACACAGTACAGGGGATGACCAGAGACTGCGGACACAGTACAGGGATGACCAGAGACTGCGGACACAGTACAGGGGATGACCAGAGACTGTGGACACAGTACAGGAGATGACCAGAGACTGTGGCCACAGTACAGGGGATGACCAGGGACTGCGGACACAGTACAGGGAATGACCAGAGACTGCGGACATAGTACAGGAGATGACCAGAGACTGCGGACACAGTACAGGAGATGACCAGAGACTGCAGACACAGTACAGGGATGAGCAGAGACTGCGGCCACAGTACAGGGGATGACCAGAGACTGCGGCCACAGTACAGGGGATGACCAGAGACTGCGGACACAGTACAGGGGATGACCAGAGACTGCGGACATAGTACAGGAGATGACCAGAGACTGTGGACAGTACAGGGATGACCAGAGACTGCGGACAGTACAGGAGATGACTGCTGACCTTTGGGGAGGGAGGGGGAGCAGGTACCTGAATTTGACAGGTACCCGCTCTTACTTCCGCAGAGTTGTTCTTTGATCTTACCTGTTCCTCTATCCAGCCGCGCGCTGTCTTCCCGGCTTCTGTAATGTGGGTGCTCGACGGACAGCCGGGTCCCACTTTTTGCGCATGCGCACTTGGGACCCGGCTGTCACGCACACTACAGAAGTCGGGAAGACAGCGCGCCGCTGGATAGAGGAACAGGTAAGGTCCCACTGCAGAGCTGACCGGTCGGCCCGGTATTCTGACACGGCGGTGGTGGAAATACCGGACCGGCTGCTGCATATTCGCTCCATAAGACGCACTGACATTTTCCCCCCTTTTTTGGGGGGAAAAAAGTGCGTCTTATGGAGCGAAAAATACGGTACTTTTTTGCCCCACTGTACCTAAATCACTGTTGACACTGCACATCAGGCCATCCTGCAACTTCAGCAGCCCTGGTGTCCCAAAGCTATGTCAATGGCCATGCTTTTCTGGATAAATAAAAAGTAATCCAATGGCTGAAACACCTTTCCCAGTAAAAATACTCCTCCATTGCCTAGGCACGTGGTTATTTGATGTCTATTAGGGGAGGTTAAGTATTTATTACTCTCTTCTCACAGAGATTAAAGTACTCCTGCAGACAATGGGGTTGATTTACTAAAACTGGAGAGTACAAAATCTGGTGCAGCTGTGCATAGAAACCAATCAGCTTCTAGGTTTTATTGCCAAAGCTTAAAGCGGTAGTAAAGCTTAAAAAAAAAAAAAAAAATCCCCCCTGCAAGGCAATATTATAATGTGCTAGTATGCAATGCATACTAGCACATTATAAAAAACTTACCTTAAAACAAAGCCTTCCATCAGTGTGCTGTCTCCGCTGACAGGGCTTCCATCTTCACCCAGTCTTCCATCCGGGTTTGTGAGCTCTGGCCATCTGACTGGTTGAGCTGTGCTGACGTCACTCCTGCGCATTTGCATGGGAGCCCTGGGCAGGGCATAAAGCTCTGAAGGAAGGACACGGGTATGCCATTCCTTCAGAGTGACATCACCAGCTGCTGCTCATTGGAATAACGGTACACGTTTTCCTGTGGGTAAAAATCAGAAAGATGAGTTTACTACCACTTTAATTTAACAAGCTGAAGTTAGAAGCTGATTGGCTACCATGTTCAGCTGCGCCAGATTCTGAGTGCACCAGTTTTAGTAAATCAACCCCAATGCCTCTCTCGGATTTTCTTTCCAGAAGAACAGCACTATCTTTGCTCAGGCAGTATCCAGAATCAGAATCTACTTTCTAGACTGAAATGCTGCCTCAGAGATGACTTAGTAATGTAGATTCTAGTGCTTTAGCAGTTGTTGCCTGTGTTCACAAATGTCTGGCACAGATCAGCCCCTACTGCAGCAACTTACCTTGTGCCTTCCTGCAAAGTTACAGTGTTGCAAGTTTTATCACTGGGAAAAGGGAACAGAGGAAATGCTTTCTCCTGCCTACAGCAGGCTGACATCACCTCAGTCTAGACAAAGACACCTCCCACCTTCCTGATGCTCAAGGACTGCTTTTTAATGATGAAAGGGAGTCTGAAAAATTATACTTAAAATATAGTGCTGTTGCACTTAGGAATAGATATTCATGCAACTTTGTTAATTATACGCTGCAGTCCTAATTTGTGAACCCATAACACAAAAACAAAAAATATACCATGTGGACCGCGCATAAATTAAGTACATTAAATTTGACAATACATGAGTAATAATGCTTAACATATACAAAGTGAAGAATTGTAGCATTCAGTCCCAATTCTGAAAAATAGAGTGCCCAAGTGTTGATTACTAATTGGTGAACTTCGTTCAAAAAATGACAGGTGCTCATCTGTGCTCAATCGGTGCCCCATATGGATGTGCACTCACCGTTATCCGTGGACCACCTATCTCTAGGTTGGTCTTAAGCTCCTGGTTTGGGACTAGCCCAATGTGTGATGGTAAGAATGGCACCAATATTCATTCCTGGCAATCATGCGATCTGGCTGATAGTAACCAATAGGATGATGACCAGCGTAGATATAAATGACAGTGTAGTTTCAAAAGAGCCTTTTTAAACTTTCTCCTCTCCTCCCAGGCAGTAAACCAAGTTTCAGCATGTGAACAGAAACAAAAGCAAACATTCCATAGTGTAAAACCATAAAAAAACTTTAATGATGGGGAGAAATGATAAGAATAAAGCTCACAAGCAAAGCACTCAGTGTATTCAGCCTTGTTGCCTGTGAATAGGAACCAAGATGGCCGCAGCTTCCAGCATGTGTACCAAAGGGCGGAAATGACATCAGCAGAAGTTGCGTCATCAAACCTTGACCGGTTTCGATCAATGCATCGTCATCAGGAAGTGCACTCCGCCCCAAAGCACCCTCCCTCCATGTTGAGGGCATGTAGCCTGGTATGGTTCAGGGGACACTCACTCCCCCCCCCCCCTTTCCTGACCTGACAAGCTGCATGCTCGGATAAGGGTCTGGTATGGATTTCTGGGGGACCCCCACGCCATTTAAAAAAATATTTTTTTTTTTACTTGCCGGCAATTCTTTCTTTTACATTCAGCTGTCAGTGGGGAACCCCGCTGACAGCTGAAACATTAACGCATGATTTTCACTACTAAAATACCACATGACTTGATAAAATAACTCATGCGGTATTTTAGTAGCGTTTTTTGGTGAATTCAAACTTTGTTTTTAAAAAAATGCTATGCGGTATCCTACCCCATACTCGGATGTGGTAAGATACCGCTTAGTGAATTGTGGTCAGTGAGCCTCTCACTGGGCCCCCTACTGATCCTGAGCCTTCGGGCAATGCCCAAATGCCTAAATGGTCAGTCCGCTCCTGTTCTTCACTTTTTTGTGTCATACCAATACAAACAAAAGACATAAACATAAGAATCCTGAGTTAGAGCTGTATCGTGTTCATTTTATATCAATACCACAGTAGGGTAGATCACTGTCACAGTGGGTTTTTTTAGGCTGATTCATTGATTTGCCATTTTGATAACTTTGTGTTTATTTTGTCTTCTTCACTTTTTAATACTTGGTTGCAAATCCTTTGTAGTCAATTACAGCCTGAAGTCTGGAACGCATAGACATCACCAGACGCTGGGTTTCATCCCTGGTGATGCTCTGCTAGGCCTCTACTGCATGCTTCACTGATGAGGTGGTATGCTTAGGATCATGAGCAGTTCCTTTCCTTCTCCATACTCTTCTCATCCCATCACTCTGGTACAAGTTGATCTTGGTCTCATCTGTCCATAGGATGTTGTTCCAGAACTCTGAAGGCTTTTTTAGATGTCGTCTTCCTGTTTTTGAGGCTCACCAATGGTTTACATCTTGTGGTGAACCCTCTGTATTCACTCTGGTGAAGTCTTCTCTTGATTTTTGACTTTGACACACAAACACCTACCTCCTGGAGGGTGTTCTTGATCTGGCCAACTGTTGTGAAGGGTGTTTTCTTCACCAGAGAAATAATTATTTGGTCATCCACCACAGTTGTTTTCCGTGGTCTTCTGGGTCTTTTGGTGTTGCTGAGCTCACCGGTGCGTTCCTTCTTTTTAAGAATGTTCCAAACAGTTGTTTTGGACCACGCCTAATGTTTTTGCTATCTCTCTGATGGGTTTGTTTTGTTTTTTTCAGCCTAATGATGGTTTGCTTCACTGATAGTGACAGCTCTTTGGATCTCATCTTGAGAGTTGACAGCAACAGATTCCAAATGCAAATAGCACACTTGAAATGAACTCTGGACCTTTTTATCTACTCATTGTAATTGGGATAATGAGGGAATAACACACACCTGGCCATGGAACAACTGAGAAGCCAATTGTCCCATTACTTTTGGTCCCTTAACAAGTGGGAACATATGCAAACTGTTGTAATTCCTACACCGTTCACCTGATTTGAATGTAAATACCCTCAAATTAAAGCTGACAGTCTGCAGTTAAAGCACATCTTGTTCGTTTCATTTCAAATCCATTGTGGTGGTGTATAGAGCCAAAAATGTTAGAATTGTGTCAATGTCCCAATATTTATGGACCTGACTGTATTTATGCACTAAAACAATTCTCAAGCAATTAAAGCCTTTCTTTAAAATGAAGAGACAAATTTCAGCTGGGTCTGTGCACAAAGCCAAACACAGCCTGTCCCTTTTGTATATATTTTTGTATATACAATATAACTTGTAGGGCTATATTGAAGGGCTCAAAAGGAGCCAAGGGAAACCAATAAAAAAAAAAGTCAGCTTGAGACTGTTTTTTTATTCTTTCTCAGTCAGTCAGTTAGTAAACTGATAGACTTTCGATAAAAGGTAATACTGCCAAGTGGAAAAAAATTGTTACTCGATTCAGCACATGGATGCTCTAATAGTGAGACCCTCCTGCCATAATTCCTGACT